GCTTCTTTTTTTTTCTTTCTGTTGCAAAGGTCTAACTTGATCAAATATTACCAGACTCAAATCATTTCAAAATTACTGTCTAAACCTAGCTTACGAATCTTCTGAAGAATTTTAGATCATGTTTAAATTGACAAACAGGTCTAATAGCTGGAATAGAGAGGTATTTTAAAATAGCTATATTCAACCACTTAAAAAAAGAAGAAAGAAAAGAGGATACTCAGCACAGATAAGCACTTAGCTATCAACAAAATTTCTTGTTTGTCAGAAAGTCTTCATTTTATTGCCAACTTGGATAGTATTATCTTGACTTGTTGTCCCTATCTCTGATACTGGATCAATATTTCCTTTCATGTCTAGATTAAGATTTTGAGTGACTATTTTGTTTTTCTCCCAACTTTTATATTGAAAGACAGCAAAAGTCATCAAATGGCACATTGCCTCAAGGTAAACTTACTTCTTTGCATCTTAGAGTCAGAAGATGAGACCTTAAGACACAAAATTCTTTTGCTACCTGCAAAAGATTTTCTCAAGGAGGCATTTGAAAATTCTGAGTTTTATCCAGATAATTCATGCCATGTGACATTTCTTTCCTGCTCATTTTTTGATAACCCAAATAAAAAGTATCCTTCATGGTTAAAGTCTTATGGAGTCTTCTTGCTGCTACTTGCAGGCATCTGCTGCATGCCCAAGGCATTTTTTGGTAGTATTCTTTGGGCATGCAGCCATGTGACTTAACTCCTCCATGCTAGGGTGTAATCTCCATGAGAGAGATTGAGCTTTATGTTTATTTCCTGAATGTTGTATTGGGGCTTAATAACTGAATCATGAATGAATTGTCTTTCAATGTAACTCTCCTGGATATTAACCTTTCCTAGAAATTTCATTTTTATTCTCCTTCAGAGTAAACAAACTCGTACTCTATTTTTCTTTTCACCACAAGTAAATAGTGGAAGCTCCTTGGGAATTCAACTCATAATGTAGGTCAAGAAATAAATAAATACTACATTAAATAAAAAACAAACAGTGTCTAGTTTTTGTCTTGAACTACCCCAGGTTTCACAGAGACATTGTAATTCTTTAATTAGCCAGTATATATATTTGTATAGTAAAAAGACATGTGCTGATGACTGATTGACTTATCTAAGTCAATATGCACAACTGCAGAAGCTTTCAGGAGGGGAGAACCTGGGGCCGAACATGACACCTCATTTATCTTTTTTTTAGTGAAATGCTGCTGTCAATTAGGTGAAAATGAGAACTCAAGTCCATAACCATAAAAGCCCACCTATTGAGTCTGACGCCTGCTGAGATTGGCATTCACTTGTGGTCTAAATGTTGCTGGCATAATGGACCATTCCTATTTCTAGATTAAGGATTTTAATAGACTGTACAAACCAGTTGACTTAAGCAGGTGATGATGAGTGTGGCTGCTTTGCTGCTTTGGTTGGATCAAGAGAGCCCTGGGCTATGGCTTGCCAATGATCCCAGAGCAGCATCCAACCCTGGGCAGCCTCTGTGAGCTGTGAGTTCCTAGCCTGATTTTCTGAGACATCCAGAAGAATTTGGAACAGTCATATTATTGGTGATGCCTGATTTTTGTCATCTCTGTTGAATTTATAAGCACTTATTAAGTCACTTGCTGTGTACACAACACTTTACCAAGTGCTAGGGAAGGGAGATTGGTGTAGGTCCATGGTTCTCAATGTTTTTGAACATAAGGACCATTCTTTTAATGTTGTAGTTTCTCAATCAGTTGGTTATTTTTTTTTTAAATTGGCCAAAAAAAAAAAGCTTCTATGTATTTATTTAAACTTTTAAAACATTTGAATTTTAAAATAACAATCTATGTATAATAGTTAATACGTATGGAGGATATAAATAATATTGGTGGCCTCCAGAAAATGATGTATTACATGGAAACTGATTCTTGTTCTTGTTATCCCTTTCAGCAAATTCATGGTGATTCAGGGTACAAACATTGGCTCCAGTGTCTCCAAGTTGGAAAATGCTGATGCAACTCCATAGATGGAACACAGTCATAGTGGTATTTTTTGGATTTTTAACTTTTAGAATCAAAATTTGGAACTATGTAATTGTTCAATTCTGAACACCATCCAACATCTCAGTCCTGGGGTTATCTGAAGAAAAATGTTCTTAAAGTGAAATAGGTATTTTTCTCTTTGATTTCTTCTACCCAAATTTATGCCATATTTTGGCTTGCTTCATGCCCTGATCATAACATTTTTGAACCATTGTATATTTTTCTTGGAGCTTTCAATTTTTTATTTTTGGTGGTTTAGATTAAAAATATGTCTTCCTTAGAATATTTCTAATATCTCCTTGCTTCTTGCCTACTCTGTTGCCTTGGATCTAGCTTATTCTACTTAAAGATATTATTTTTGAAGTCTATGTTTTGTCTTGTAATATAAACTGATTTCTTTCCAGATCTGATACATATGTGTCATTTTGGGATTCCTTTTCATTGGATTCCTGGTTAATTACATCATCTTTCATCATGCATCTTCTCTTGATTGTAACCCTCATTGGGCTGGAATATAGCTTCAAGAAACTTCTGAAGAATGAATCTATAGGAGGTAAATATTCTTTGACAATTTGACTGGGTATTAAGTTTAGTTTCCAAAAATTTGATCTCAGAATATTGGTGGCACTGTGCCATTGTTTTCTAGTGTTTCTGATGAGATCTGTGATATAAACCTGATTCTAGTCTTTTGAACATAGAGTTGCCAAATAAAATACATGATGCCAGCTAAGTTTAATTTTAACATAATCACCAAATAATTTTTAGTGTAAGTATTTACCCTGGAATGTGCAATATTTCAGGCATACTCAAACCAATAAATTATTCATTATTTGTCTGAAGTTCAAATCTGTGTGTTGTGTATTTTTTTTCCCCTAAATGTTGCAACCCTATTTGAAGGTCAGCCACTCTTCCTCCTCTAAATGACTTTTAGATCTTCTTCCTACTCTTTCTGTTTTGAAATCTCTTAAAGATGTGCTTAAATGTGGCTTTAAAAAAAATCTATGCACCTCAGCACTTTGTTGGATCTTACAATCTCTTTCAGCACCAGGGAATTTTCTTCTATTACTTTCTTTAATAATTTTCTTCCCTTCATTTTATTAGTTTTCTGGAATTCTAATTAGCTTGATGTTGTGCCTTCTGAATTGCTTATATAAGTCTAGTCTTCTTATTTCTGTTTTGCATATCTATCTTTTTGTTTTATGTTCTGGAAATTTACCCAACTTTATATCTTAAAGTTTTTGGTTATCGAAACTTTAATTTCTAATAATTCTTTACTGCTCTTTTAATTATAATTTTCTTGGAATCTTATCTTTAATTTATGGATGTGCCTATTCTCATATGTCTTCAAAGATATATGAGTTTTTTGTTTTGTTTTGGCTTAAATTCTCATCCATTTCCTGAATTATTTTTGTTTTCTTTGAGGTCAATTCTGACTATTTATCTCACTCTTTGTTTTTCAGGCTGCTACTTTACTCTCATGTGTTTGGAGATCATTTATCCACATTTAAGAATAAAAAACAAGGTAAATAATTCTAGGCAATGGATAAGGTTTCCTTTGTTTTGTACTTGTCCCCTAAATAGACAAGAAGCCCTACATGTGCAGGTAGATTTTACCAGACTCTGATGAATGGGTGTAAGTGACAGCACTTGGAGTCTTCTATATGTGAAAATGATTAGTATTCTAACATTTTAATGCTAACTGGTCTAGCTCTTCCTAGGCAATTGATCTACTTATTCTTTTAAAAAACAGACACATTTTCCCTTTTTAGGATTACAGCTGTGCTTTCTGCTGCTTTTAGGAGGGTGCACTTGTCCTCTTACCTGTTTGTTCTCTAGACAGAGTTTTGATTTATGTTGTTTTTTTGTTTGTTTGTTTCGTTTTTGTTTTTTTGACTTCCATTCTTATTCTTACACTTGCCTTCCTGTTGATTCTAAGTCTGGAATGTAATTTCCTCTTGCAAATATTTTGGCCTGCAAATTCTTTTGCTTTGTTCCATCTGCTTTTTATTGTCAAAAGAAATTTATTGTAATCATGAATCCATCAGTGATACCCTCTCATTTTCCTCACTATTATGGGTTTAGTGTTTTAAGATAGTTCTCAGGGAATACTGGGAGGGAGAGAAGACAAATGTATGTACTCAGCCTACAATCTTGAACCAGAAGTTCCATCCTTTAATCTACTGTCTATCATTTTATTATGAATGTCTTATGATGAAAATATTTTATATCTGCATGGGTGAATTTTGGTTTGCAAAACACACTTATGTGTAGTCTCATTTATTCCTCAGAAGTTGGAACACATATTTTTCTTACACATTTTTGAAAGTAATAAAATGACAAAGTGTATGTGAATGTGCCTGGCACAATACCTAGGACAGAATGGCTGCACAATAAATATTATGTCTCTTTTATTGTTTTGTTTTCACAATGTAGAGTTCAGGCACATTTCTGTAATACTGGTATGAAGACATATTTGAATATGTATTGTTTGAAAAAGATATAAAACAGTTACCCCTACCTTACGATTAGAAGTAATTTTTTCATTAAACTTTATTATAAGCTTAATGAGAAAATTCTCAGAAAACATTTGGAACTCAGGGATAAAACTCACCACAAAATGATGACATTCTTTACATTATTGTAGCTAACACTGTTACAAATTTTAATACACTGATACAGCTATGGGTTTATTCAACTATAGAGTTATTAAGTCATGAAAATGCCACGATTGTAATCCATAGATGCGATCTCTGAAGATCAGAGGAGTTAAGACGTTTTCCCAGCATTACATAGCATGTAAGTCACAGAGCCAAAACTCAAACCCAAATCTTTTGACTTCAAACTAGTGCTCTTTTCTCCACAGCACAGATTCACAGGCTTTTAAAAGGAAATGCAACACATAAAGCTGAGCTTTTTTTCTTATAAATATTAATAACTATTAATAATGTTTCATTTGCAGTGAAATTGTACGCTTTAACGAGCCAAGTCATTAATGGTGAGATGCAGTTCTATGCCAGAGCAAAACTTTTCTACCAGGAAGTACCAGCCACAGAAGAGGGTATGATGGGAAATTTCATTGAACTGTCCGGTCCAGACATCCAGGCATCTCGGAAATTTCTTAGGAAATTTATTGGGGTGAGTTATTCAACTGCAGCTTGATGAGAAGGCAGTCATTGCAAACACTGAGCTCGCATGCCTCTGTGTTGTTACTTAAGTCATGACTAAGCCATATGACCCAGCCAAGAGTTCTGCCTGCAAGCCTGTTTTAAGATGTTCAGAAAGGATGAACCATTTATGATATGATAAATATAGTAACACTGGTTTATCCCACTTGGCATTTCACTCTCCTATCGCCAACTAATCTTACATGCTCCAGAGGAAGGTGAATTAGCAGTGTTGATATAAAATTTGGGAATGAAGAAGACATCTCTTTTAGAGTCTCATAAACATTTCATACCCAAATGATTGATGAGAGATCATGTCCTTTGGGATCTTGGGTTGACTTATTGACTCCCTGTAATAAAAATGAGATGTTGGAAGGAAATACATGATTATGCTCAGTTTAAAAACAATGAAAGTAGAATCCTTTTATACTATTTTATACATAGTTTTGATTTTACCTTGAAAGAATGTTATCCTTTTGTAGTCCTGCATTGAGTCAACCCCTACTTCCTTACTGTCATGTCATATGAATACAGACAGTATATTGTAGGGGTCAAAATTTTGGGCTTTAAGGCTATTGTGGTTCTTCTGCTTAATGTATAAGCAACTTTGAGCTTGTTACTTAAATGTACCAAGTGTCAGTTTTCTCTCTTGTGACTAGGGCATGACAATAGAAGCTACTTCACAGGATAATGTGGAGATCAAATGAAATAATACATGTCAGGTACCTGCTTTAGTGCACAAAATTAGTACCCAATCAAGCTAATTTATTACTATCACTACTAATAACAGGCTTTCATATAATGTATTCATTCTATTTTAAGGAACTTCATTTAGTTGCTAGAAAAGACTTAACTCCCAAGAAAGGCTGGGTGTGGTGGCTCACACCTGTAATCCTAGCACTTTGTGAGGCCAAGGTGGGTGAATCACGAGGTCAGAGTTCGAGACCAGCCTGGCCAATATGGTGAAACCCTGTCTCTACTAAAAATACAAAAATTAGCCAGGTGTGGCATTGCACGCCTGTAGTCCCAACTATTCGGGAGGCTGAGGCAGAAGAATCGCTTGAACCCGGGAGGCGGAGGTTGCAGTGAGCTGAGATCATGCCACTGCATTCTAGCATGGGTGGCAGAGCAAGACTCCATCTCAAACAAACAAACAAACTAACAAAACAGAACAAAACAACAGCAGAAAAGACTTAACCCTCAAGATAAAGCTGCTGTTAGTTCTATCGAAGATGCAAAGTTCTAATTGGTAACAGGTTTTGTTCCAACACATTACAAAGTCATTGGTTTGAGATTTGGTGCCCATTTTATTCTGATAAAGGAAATATAAACATTAGGCCATCAACCAATTTAGTAGCAAAACATTAATATCTCTAGTGTTGAGGTCAGGTTCACTTCAAATCCAGTCTCCCTGGAGCACCCAGTGTGTGAGTCCAGAGCCTGACAGTGGATAAAAATGTGATCAAGATGATATATTTACTGGGGCCAAAGTGTCTGGACATTAGCTTCAGCCATAAAAGACTAGAGAGTCTAGGGATGAAGACCGTGGATGTTTACAGGTTAGGTTAACTTGGAGTATTTCTAAATCAGTGTTGCTGACTGGCTTCACTGAATGCTGGTTCTGAGAGAGTCAATCTGCTAAGCACTTTAGAAGCGTTGTCTCATTTACTCCTCATGCGAATTCTTGGAGTAAGTGCTATTATTAGTTCTGTTTTTATAGTTGTGGAAACTGAGGCTTGAAGAGGTTAAATAAGTTGTCAAGATTACACAGCTGGTAAGAGACAGAATGGGGAATTAAGCCCAGCCAGGTCTGCCTGACACCAAACTCCCTGCTGTTAACCATGACATATTTTTTCCATTTGTCTCATGAAACTGAAAAATCCCTGCTTTATTTATTTATATATTTACTTTTTTGGTGGACCATAGACCTCGACTCTCCTCCGGCCTGGCTGAAAGCAATCCCTCCTGCTTTCCTTGTGGTGAGGCTGACTTTGATCCCAAAGAATTTCAGAAGCTTAGTTAGTAATCCAGCTGTCTTGTCACTCCGTGTGGAATGCCAAGCTACCACAGGGATGCTGGTCAGACAGAGCCCATAAGCACGCCCACAGACCTGGGAAAGGAAACAGCCTTGTGCTAGCATATTTATGTTGGAAAAGAGGCAGCCTGCTCCTTTGAAACAAATATAAGGAGTCCTTTTTAGTAGACAAGGCTCATTGTAAAACTGTGACTTCTAAGCACAAACACAGTCCTTTTTAAGGACTGATATTTTGGTACTTTGACCTTCATACTCTAATCTACTAGATTAGTATTCAGGTCAAGATACAAAGAGTTAGGGAATACAAGTATCTGACATGACTTATTCTCGCGTCAACTGCAAAAAGAAGATTGTTTAAAGTTTTGCTTTCCTTTCAGCACTTAATGACATGAGACAGTGGGAAAAGGTGTTTAAACTAGTTGCAAATGTATTTACTTTAGCAAATAAACAAATGACATCAAGATGATGTCAATGCCATAGTTGATAACTTTCCTGTTTTAGCTTTCTAGTGGGCAAAAGTAGTAATTCATAAAAAGTCATCAGTATTTATTTGATAGTATTTATTTTTTGACATTTCTCAGAGATTGGATAGCTAAAAAATCTGGGTCTACTAACTTGTTATATTTTATAGTTTTTATAGTGACATGAGGCCCTTTCATTTTAGTTTTTTAGCTCCACTGGATAAACCTAAAATAATGTTCTTCAAAACAAAATACATAGGCAGAATCAAAACTAAACTGAAATTCCTAATAATGTTTTACTAGTTTATATGGATTCATAAATATAAACATGGCATAATAAATGAAAATGAAAATAACGAAATGGGCTCACGTCTGTAATCCCATCACTTTGGGAGGCCGAGGTGGGTGGATCACCTGAGGCCAGGAGTTCCAGACCAGCCTGGCCAACATGGTAAAACCTCATTTCTGCTAAAAATACAAAGATTAGTGGGGTGTAATAGCTAGCACACACCTGTAATCTGAGCTACTCGGGATACTGAGGCAGAAGAATCACTTGAACCCGGGAGGTGGAGGTTGCAGTGAGCTGAGATCCCGCCACTACACTCCAAGCTGGGTGACAGAGTGAGACTCCATCTCAAAAAAAAAAAAAAAAAAAGACTGTCTTGTTTTGAAATCATACATTGCATGTAGTTCTAGTCATATGCATTCAAGGGCATCAGATTTCAATACAATCACAGTTTCAGGCAGCCATGGTGTCCAATAAAGTTCAGGGTGCTTTGTTGTTCCAGGATTCTACTTCTAAAACCGCTTTCTACACTAATGAGAGCAACATGACCAATAGAGGCTTTTAAGGCCAAGTAATAATAAGAAAAATTTGAAATGAGAATCTCTTATTGAGCATACACATTTTTAGTAAAGTCATTTCTAATAATGACATAATTTCTCCATCTACTGCCCATCTTTTTGTTATGAATTTACTTAGAAGATGCTTCTTTCACAGCATTCATACTTAGGCCTTTTTCTGAATTAGCTTAGTCTAAATTATATTTGAATGTGACATGTGGCACAGTATAAGTAAAAATGGCAAACATATGGCAGTATACTACCACTTCCCCTTCTCATGCTTGAGGCAGACATCACTAATCTATCATAGATCTCTTTTCTACTGTCTAAATGAAGCCTTGTAATTCTTTGTAACATAGCATTACACAGATATTACCAAGAGAATCAGAGTTATCACTTGAGGTGACATCTCTAATGTAGAACTGGCTTTGGATTCAGACAGTTCCTGTTCTAATTCTAATTCTGACATTAGTTATGAAATATTAGAAATCGGAATTTTCTTATCTCCAAAATGAGGATAATAATCTATATTGTGGAGTTTTCTTATTATAATTATTATAGCTAAGAGCTTGCTATGTATAAATAATAATTGTGGCTATTATCATTCCATTTTAAAAGAAGTTACAGTTCCTTCACTTTTTGTTCTTCATTGTACTTTTCTAGCATAACGAAGGCCATTTGGGTGGACTAGAAAGCTGGTTTTCTGATGTTTCCCTCTGTTTGTATTTCACCTTTGATCCTTAGCCAATTTTTTTTTTTTTTTATTCTTAGTTCCTGAGAAATCAAGAGTAGGCTTTTCCCTTAACATCTTGATTGGCAACTTCAAGTATCTTGTTACTGTAATTTCTAGTACAAAACTGCTTCAGCAGCCATCCCAATTATGGCCAAATAATTTAGACCAGCTGAATCTTCATAAATCAGAAACGTTTTTTAAGTTTTATGGAAGCAAGTTTGAGAAAGTTTGCATTGGCTGATTTCTGCCTACCTCCACCATCTTCCCATCCCCTCACTCCCAGCTAATTTAATGCACAGACGTACTTAAAAAGACCGTTTTTAGAATTTTTATGCCAAATAAATCATGTAGTTTCTGGTACCAAAAAAACCCAGAAAACAACGTTTAGCATTAAAAGACACAAGGAAACTTTGCCGAAACTATCTTTTATCCATGTGAACTTGCTGTGTGCCATCAGGGCTGTATTTGAAATAAAATTCTGGCCAGGAATGGAAAAGTTAGCAATGTTCAGCTCAGGTTCCCAAACTTACCATCCATCCAAGAGGAGTAGATAATTCAGAGCCTTCAAAATTTGCCTAGAAAAGATAAAATTCAACTATTCCAAACTGAAATGTTTCCATTGAATGAGTCTTTCATTTTAAAACTCAGAAAGGTTCTCACTATTTGGTTCTTTTTTGCTTACACGGCAATAATCTATAGTGTAGAACCATTTACCTGTGGATTTGTCTCAAATTTAGTCATTAATGTTTATCTTCATAGGGCTAGCAATGGATCATTTTTTTTTGGAGAAAATTACCAAGTGTGTAAACCTAAGATACTATTTTTTAAAAATCTCATTTATAATTCTTTATTTGGATAAAGAAAGCAGGACTAGAAATATTTAGATTTTTTAAAAAAGATAATTGAATGTATATCTTGATTGTGGTGGTAGGTGCATGACTATATACATTTGTCCAAAATCATCAAATTGTATACAAGAAATGGTACATTTTATTGCATAAAATTTACCTAATAAAGTTGATTTAAAGAGGTAACTAGGGTGTGCAATTTTCAACGATGGGTCTCTGTACTTGAAATATCAAGGTGCTTTTCTGCAGGGGCCTGGGAGAGCTGGAACAGACTGTGCCTTGGACTGCGGCTCCGGAATAGGAAGGGTCAGCAAACACGTCTTATTGCCTGTTTTCAACAGTGTGGAGCTGGTGGATATGATGGAATCCTTTCTCCTTGAAGCCCAGAACTACCTGCAGGTCAAAGGTGACAAAGTAGAAAGCTACCACTGCTACAGCCTGCAGGAATTCACACCCCCGTTCAGGAGATATGATGTCATCTGGATTCAGTGGGTCTCTGGTTAGTCCTGCATGACTTTGGCTCTGCTATTCTCCCCTTTTCAGCCAGAGAAGACGGTGCTTGGGGCTAATGAGGACACCAGGGAAGAGTTAGCTGTAGTACTTCGAGCAGTTAGCTCCCTTAGGTGTCATGTGAACTCCCACAAAACTCTGATCTTCCAGATTTCTCCCTTGACATTTTCTGTACAATAAATTTACATTTCTTTGAGGATTTACGTTGGTTCTCGAACCAACCTAAATGGAGCAAGTGCCTTTGGACCAACCTAAATCCTCGAAGAAATCTAAATACTTGAAAAATTTTCAAAAGTGCAGTCAAAAAGATTAATCCCCATTTATTGGCAGAACTAGACATTCTTAGATTTAAATCCCCAGGAAATGAGACAGCAGTGAATTCGATTTTGGGGTGTGTGTGTGTGTGACACAAAGATATAGTAATAGAGGGGTTCTTCAGGGGACAAGGAGGGACTCGTGGGGGTAGACAATAATTTATCTCATGCCTATGAGGTCGACAGGCTAGGTAGGATAATATATTTTACAGACAGGGGACAGAGTCTTCTCTAAGAGGATATGTGTCCCCTTATCTAAATTTTCAAAGCCTCCTGTAACTAAACGAGGCTATTAAATAATTCATGAATGAGTGAACAAATGGTCTCCTGATTCTCAGCCGTGTTCTTCCCTACTCACCTTCCATCCTCCCTACCATATCATCCTGTTCCCCCATCCACTTGGTCCCCCTTGTAGGGCACCTGACTGATAAGGACCTTCTTGCATTTCTTTCCCGGTGCCGAGATGGCCTGAAAGAAAATGGCGTCATCATATTGAAGGACAATGTGGCCCGGGAGGGCTGTATCCTCGATCTCTCTGACAGCAGTGTGACTCGGGACATGGACATCCTCCGGAGCCTCATAAGGAAGAGTGGGCTGGTGGTGCTGGGCCAAGAGAAGCAGGACTGCTTCCCAGAGCAGTGCATCCCCGTGTGGATGTTCGCACTGCACAGCGACAGACACTCCTGAAAAAGCAGTGGGAATGAACGCCCGGACTGGGCAGTGGTGCTTTGGGACGGGGCTGCTATCCTTCCAGATGCCCCTTGTAATGCAGATAGGGAAGGTTAGAAAAGCGATACAATGTATGTCTGGAAATAATTTATGATATAATATGTACCTGTTTTCAGTGGTTATACAATGCACACACTGATGAGACGTGCACAAATTCTGTGGATTTTCTGAAAAAAAAAAAGTGAAATATCAGGAAACGTGATTTAAATCTGTTTGTATGTGTCTAAACTGTACAAGCGTGCATGAAAACAGAAGGCATAAAGGACAGCTGGCCTGCATCAATATTTGTAAAAATCGTCTTTAACAACATCCTTGGCAAAAATGGTATTTTTTATTTTTTTCATCACAAGATGAAATCAGCATTCTGTGGGTCAAGGAAAACAAATAATTTAGCTTTGGGGGTTGTTCAAATAAAGCATTCGTTTACTCAAACACACACAAAAAAGGAAAAGAAACAATGCCCACATATTCCAAACTATCTTGTTCCCTGATAATTACTATTACAGAGTATTCTGCTGGGGGCGGGGGTGGGAGAAAATCTAGACTCCTTTCCCCACCTTCATGTCAGTTACATTCTACTTCCTTCCTCTTTGGTACTACTACTTCTCTTGAACAAACATCTCCCTCTAATTAAGAAGACACTAGTCAAAATAATCTTGTGAACACAAGTCCATTATTTAATTTTGCCTTTAGCCTTTCTCTTGGCAGAAAAGGTATTTGGTTTCACTTTCTATTTTGGGTCAGTTTTACTACCCAGTGATGTAATATGGATGTAATTTGATAACAGAGGTCTGCATTACAGTGATGGGGAGTATCTCCCTTCAGGAGAAAATATTGTGCCCTGAAATTTCAGCCTTTAACATATAAGTAAATGTCATTGATAATCTAATTTTAGTCTTTGGTTTTCAACATTGCTTGGTTCATTGCAGCTGCTCCTGGGGTCTTGATTGATATGAATATATATTGGAAAGAGAAGCAGCAAAACAAATGGACAAGGAAATGATAAACCTGAAAACTGAACTAGCTGGACATTGGTTTAATTAAAAATAATCTAAAATTATTCAAAAAATGTAATTCAATTTTTATTAGCAGAATGCTAAATATAACTGCTGTTGTCTTTAAAACACTTCAACATCTTCACATGGAAGCACACTTGTGCTTGGTATGTATTGAGTCTTCATGCAGTGAAAATAATCAATTTAAGTAAAGAAGATAAGACTACATGGATATGCTATCATCATAAAATAGTATTCTCAGGTCACAGCTGTAATTTAAGAGGAAAACAATTATGATAAAACATTTGATACTTTGTTGTAGCTTTACCTTGGTAGTTTCATTTACTGTGCTGGAAAATTATTTCACCTATTCTGCTCTTGGCACCTTACAGCTGTTTTATGTTACTTGCTATGCTCTAGGGTAGCATGCCACTGATTCCATGACAAGCAAGCCAGGGACCAGAACTAAATCGAACGGTAAACCATTACCAAACAGCCTAAGTGCAGCAAAACAATGGTACCCATGTTTTAGGCCTCTGTAATTCTTAGAGCACATTAACAGAATCTTCTTTTCAGGCTCATCCTGGGAATTTTCTATTTCTTTCACCAGTATCCTTAATTCTCTTAACCCTTGACTTTCTGCTTTGCCAGTATTCACAAGCTGATTGACACAGTTGTCAATATTCTCTGCTATGGGTTTCTGAGCTTATGGAGGGAATGACATAATTTTCCTGCCGATACTGATACCTGATTTTCAACTCAGTTGGGTCATTAAGGTTGATCACCATTCCCTTTTCTCATCCTAAATCACATATTATTCTCCTTAGAAATTTTTCAGATTTTTATTGCTCTGTCCAATTTCCCAATTCCGTATCTATGCTTAACTTAATTGAGAAAGTAGACATTGGGAGTAAACAGTATCAACACCCCTTCTCCCCTGACCTGGCTTTATATTGTTAATAACGGGTACAAAGTAAAGGGTGGCTTGAGAGAAACTGGAGCCAGATCATGTACACTATAGGTCATGTTAAGGTTTGGACATGTTATTCAAAGAACAAATGGAAGTTCTTGAAGGAGGCAAGTAAAGGACTGATTTTTCTGCCTTTCGTAGTAGAGTCATAGAAACTGTGGAAAGAAGACATTTAGCGTGAGACCTACTCCAGTCCTCTGCAATCTAATTGAGTAAGCGAAACACACTGCTCAAGTTTATCAACACATCTGAAAACTAGTGATACAAATGACAACCTATATTATTTCCCAAATACTGGTCCATAGTCCAGCTGCCTCAGAATCACTTGAGGGAGACTTATAAATAGAGATTCTCAAACTTGATCCCCATGATATATGGTTTTGTTAAGTTGGTCACTGATTCTGATCACTAGTTTTGTTTGAGGACATTGATGGGAAAGAGGTGTGGAGCTGAGCTCCTCAGAACCACAGAAAGGTAAGGCAAGGGAAGCAAAAGTATGGACCAGGTTCAAGGGAAATCGTTGGATGATGAAATCCATTGTCCGCATTGATGCCAGTCCTTCTAAAATATGAATCTGATCATGCCATGTATAAACTTCCTTTTCCAAAAATTTTATTTTAGGTTTGGGGTACATGTGAAGGTTGCTTACATAGGTAAACACATGTCACAGGGGTTTGTTGTACATGTTGTTTCATCACTCAGGTATTAAGCCCAGTACCCAACAGTTACTTTTTCTGCTTCCCTCCCTCTTCCACCCTCGCTGCTCAAGTAGACCCCAGTGACTGTTGTTTCCTTCTTTGTGTTGATAAATTTTTATCATTTAGCTCCCACTTAAAAGTGAGAACATGCAGTATTTGGTTTTCTGTTCCTGAATTAGTTTGGTAAGGATAATAGCCTCCAGCTCCATCCATGTTCCTGGAAAATACATGATTTCATTCTTTTTTTATGGCTGCATAGTATTCCATGGTGTGTATGTACCACATTTTCTTTATCCAATCTGTCATTGATGGGCATTTATGTTGATTCCATGTCTTTGCTATTGTGAATAGTGCTGCAATGAACATTTGCATGCATGTTTCTTTATGGTACAGTGATTTATATTTCTCTGGGTAAGTACCCAGTAATGGGATTGCTGAGGGGTGGAATGGTTGTTCTGCTTTTAGCTCTTTGAGGAATTGCCATACTGCTTTCCACAATGGTTGAATTAATTTACACTCCCATTAACAGTATATAAATGTTACTTTTTCTTTGCAACCTCGCCAGCATCTGTTATTTTTTGACTTTTAAATAATGTCATTCTGACTGGTATGAGATGGTATCTCATTGTGGTTTTGATTTGCATTTCTCTAATAGTCAGTGATATCGAGCTTTTTTTCATGTGGTTCTTGGCCACATGTCTTCTTTTGAGAAGTGTCTGTTCATATCCTTTTGCCCATTTTTTAATGGGGTTGTTTTTCTCTTGCAAATTAAATTCCTTACAGATGCCAGATATCAGATGTTTGTCAGATGCATTGTTTGTAAGTATTTTCTCCCATTCCATAGGTTGTCTGTTTACTCTGTTGATAGTTTCTTTTGCTGTGCAGAAGCTCTTAAGTTTAATTAGATCCCACTTGTCAATTTTTGCTTTTGTTGTGATTGCTTTTGGTGTGCTTTTCATGAAATCTTTGCTTGTTTCTATGTTCAGAATGGTATTCCCTCGGTTGTTTTCCAGGGTTTTTATAGTTTTGGGTTTTACATTTAAGTCTTTAATTCCTCTTAAGTTCATTTTCGTATATGGTATAAGAAAGGGGTCCAGCTTCAATTTTCTGCAAATGGCTAACCAGTTATCCCAGCACCATTTATTAAATAGGGAGTCTTTTCCCCATTGCTCATTTTTTGTTAGCTTTATCGAAGATCAGATGGTCGCAGATATGTGGCCTTATTTCTTGGCTCTCTATTCTGTTTCATTGGTTTGTGTGCCTGTTTTTGTACCGGTAACATGCTGTTTTGGTTACTATAGCCTTGTTGAAGTAGGGTAACATGACACCTCCAGCTTTGTTCTTTTTGCTTAGGATTGCCTTGGCAATTCAGACTCTTTTTTGGTTCCATATGAATTTTAAAATAGTTTCTTCTAGTTCTGTGAAGAATGTCTTTGGTAGTTTGATAGGAATAGCATTGAATCTGTTAATCATTTTGGGCAGTATAACCATTTTAATGATATTGATTTTTTCTTTCCATGAGCATGGAGTGTTTTCCATTTGTTTGTGTCTTCTCTGATTTCTTTGAACAGTATTTTGTAATTCTCATTGTAGAGATCATTTACCTCCCTTGTTAGCTCTATTCCTATGTATTTTATTCTTTTTGTTACATTTTTGAGTAGGATTGCCTTCTGATTTGGATCTTGGTTTGACTGTTGTTGGTGTATAGGAATGCTAATGTTTTTTATACATTGATTTTATATCCTGAAACTTTGATGAAGTTATTTATCAGCTGAAGGAGCTTTTAGGCTGAGACTATGGGGTTTTCTAGATATAGGAAATTCATAGCAATTCTAATTACAGACAAAACAGATTTCAAACCAACAATGATAAAAAAAAGATGAAGAAGGGAATTACATAAAGGTAAAGGGTCCAATTCAGCAAAAATACCTAACTATCCTAAATATATATGCACCCAACACAGGAGCATCCAGATTCATAAAGCGAGTTCTTAGAGACCCACAAAGAGAAATAGATTCCCACAGAATAATAGTGGGAGACTTCAACACTCCACTGACAATGTTAGATCATGAAGGCTGAAAATTAACAAAGATATTCAGGACCTAAATTCAATATTAGGTCAAATGGGTTTGATAGACCTTTACAGAACTCTCCACCCAAAACCAACAGAATATACATTTTTCTGATTGCCATATGGCACATACTCTAAAATCAACCACACAATTGGACATAGAACAATTCTCAACAAATGTAAAAGAACTGAAATCATACCAAACACACTCTCAGACCACAGCACAATAAAAATAGAAGACTGAAAATTGCTCAAAA